CATTCAAATTTCTTTTGTTTTCCTGATTCATCCTTCTGGGCGGCTGACCTCATAATCTTGAAGAATGGCAGGCACTTATCTACTGACTTTGATATGAACCGATGAAGAGCTGCCAACCTTCCAGTCAACCTTTGTATATCTTTTACTAATTTCGGCGGTTCCATCTCAGCAATTGCTATGATCTTCTCTGAATTGACTTCAATCCCTCTTCGGGACACCATGAAACCTAGAAACTTTCCAGACTCCATGCCGAAGATGCATTTGGCTGGGTTTAACCGCATTCTATTCTTTCTGAGGTTGTTGAAAGTTTCGTCGAGATCAGCTAGATGGTCTTTTACTTTCAGGCTCTTTACCACAATGTCATCGACATTCACCTCCAGATTCCTGCCGATCTGAGCTCGAAAGACGATGGTCACTATTTTCTAATAAGTAGCACTTGCGTTTTTTAAGCCAAACGGCATCATGACATAGCAATAAATTTCATCGCCATCATAGAACGAGGTTTTCTCTTCGTCTTCTGGAGCCATCGGCACTTGGTGATACTTGGAATATGCATCCAAGAGACTTAGTCTCTCATTGCCTGAAGCCGCTTCAACCAATTTGTCAATGCTCGGCATTGGATAACAATCCTTGGGGTAGGCTTGGTTAAGATTTGTATAATCGATGCACATTCGTCATTTACCGTTTGCCTTCTTCACCAGGACTGGGTTAGCCGCCCATTCGCAGTAATCAACTTTTCTGACGAAATCAGCTTGTAAAAGTTTCTCTACCTCTTCTTTTATAGCCTGAAGCCTCTCCCCCCCGAAGAGACGTCGTTTTTGGGCCACTGGTTTCTTCAACGGATTGGTGCTGAGCTTATGTTGGGATACTGAGGGTGGAATTCCTAGCATGTTTGCCGCGGTCCACGCGAAGAAATCATTGTTAGCTTGAAGAAAAGCTATTAGCTCTGCTCTTTCCTCCGGGTTCAATCTAGTTCCAATTTGTGTCTTTCGGCTCGGATCTCTTTCATTAATGAGCACTTCTTCAACATCTTCGACTGAAGCAGCTTTGGGTTCATCTTCCGGTCGGTTATCTACTATTTCAACACCCATGACTTATTGATTATCAGGAATCCGTTGGGGAATGACCTCGGGTGCCTGATCTTTGCCCTTCTTAGGTTGTGTGACCGAGGTGATATAGCAATGTCTGGTCATCTCCTGGTTACCCCTCAGTGTTGCTATTTCCATAGGGGTTGGGAATTTCATGCATAGGTGAGATTGGGAAACTACAACTCGGATTTCAGTCAGCGTGGGTCAGCCAATGACAACATTGAAAGAGGACGCCATCTTGACTACTAGAAACCTGACTGAAGGGGTCACATAATTTCGGCCACTTCCAAATGCAACATTCATGGTTAGGACTCCTTCAACTAGAATTGGTTGGTTGTTGAATCCGTAGATGGGACCGTCATACTTCTGCAACAAAGCTAGATCCAGCCTAAGACTCTCAAAACAATGGAAGTACATTATATCTGGTGCATTTCCTGTGTCAACAAGGACACGTTGCACCTCACAACTGTTAACCATGACAGAAGTGACGAGAGGGTCATTGTGAGGTGTGACGACTGTATCGAGATAAGCAGATGTGAAAGTAATGGGTTGATTCTTCCACTCAACATCGTCAAACTTCTGTTTCTGAGCTCGGTTCTGATGCTTAACCTCTCTGACATGCAATTTTCGCTGTTTAGAGCTTAGTCCACCTGCTTCTAGGCTTCTTGTGATCATGTGTATGATTCTAGCTGGTGGTGGGAGTGGAGGTGGGGTTTGTTGATATCCCACACCTTGCCTGTTTGGTGGGTTACGGACTCCTTGAGGCTGTGGCCTTTGCTCTCTGACAAACCTTGGTTATTCAGCTCTCTGAATGTACTCATTCAACAGTCCCTTCTGGGCAAGACTTTCCAACTCGGACCTCAAGCTGTTGCATTGCTCTATTGTATGACCGTGATCTTGATGAAAATCACAATATCTGGTATGGTCTCGGCTAGTAGCGGTAGTTCTCATTAGGTCAGGATGCCTTAAATCCATCTTATTCTTGATCTGCATGAAAATCTGTGACCTCGGCAAATTAAAAGGAGTCCAGTTAACTGGAGGCTTACCTTTAGACTGTTGTGGGGGTGTAGAGTTCGGCCTTCCGAATCTCGGTGCGGAGGTTGACATCGGACTTCGGTTCTGTGCTATCCTCATTTGTTTCCTGCTTAGATTTTTATCTCGCCAGTCTGGGTTTTGGTTTTTCGAGGGGGCTGGTTTCTGTGATGAGGCATACTCTTCAGCAGTTATGAATTTCAATGATCTATCATTTACCTCGCTGAAAGTGGTGGCAAGATGTTTGAGCAGACTATCTCTGAATCTTTCATGGCTAAGACCTGAGATCACAGCTGTAATTCCCACAGCTGTAATTCCCACAGTTTGGTCGAAAGAGCTAACCTCCAATACTGCATCATTGAATCTGCTCATAAAATTCTTCAAAGACTCTCCGTCCCTCTGCCTAACTCGCATCAACTCAGAAGTAGTTTTCCTGATCAACCTTCTATTGGAAAACTTTGTGGCGAAAGCAGATGTCATTTCTGTATAAGAGCTGATTGACCTCGGAGGTAGACTATAATACCAGGTTAGAGCATTACCTCGAAGAGTAAAGGGAAAGATTTTGCACATCAACGCATCAGAGGCGTTTTGGCTTGCATGCAAGAGTAGAAAGCATGTAGGTGATCATCGAGATCCTTCGTCCCATCATAAGTCTCAAGTTGAGGTATTCTAAAGCCAGCAGGGTAGGGTTCTAATGTGATGTTGGTGTTTAACGGGTGAGGTATGGAGTCCGCGACATGACGTGGAGGTGGGGCACCCCTCTACTCAACTACTAACTTTTCCAAGTTGTCTAGACGTCGAGTGACATCATCGGGGAGGGGTTGCTACGCTGGTGCGATATGAGATTGGCCCTGAGATTCACTAAGAGTAGGAACATGCTGAACTGGTTCAGGGTTTTGTTGTGGAGTTGGGGGTTGTGGAGCATGATTAAGTAGGTTGATGAGTGGATCAGGATTGTTCCGGGCTAATAGCTAAGCCAGCACTAGCTGAAAGACACCAAACTGTTGTTGCATGGCCGCGAGCTGAGCCGCAACTACGTCTTGGTTGGCAATAGAGGCTGAGTTGTGAGCCGAATTATGTGGTTGATTTTCATCTCCTCCTTCTGCATGGTCAACATGAGGGAATCTGTTCGTGATTGGAGGTGGGAGGTGAGGTGGAAGGTTGCTGGGGACCTGACCTCGTCCAAGAGGCTGAGATGAGTTTTCGGCTCGGACTGACCTAGTATTAATTATGATAAGAGCAACAAGGAAGCCTTCAGCTCGGATTCCCACAGATGGCGCCAATGTAATTGCACCAAACCAGAAGTTCCTCTTCAGTTCACGTCTGCACTCCGGATCGACCTACGAAGCCCCAAGATGGAACTCGGGGTAGACACTCCGATGCTTAAGTCAGCAATAATCAAGGCTACCTCTAGAGCGAAGACAAAAGGAGCTTAGGGTTGGTTTCAATTACCTTTTGATGTGGGCCATGGGAGGTATTTATAGGATCCAATGAGGAACCCATGTGATATGCCAAGCAAGATATTCGGGATCTGATATGTATCTCTAGACGGTTATTTCGGGACCGGGAAATCGAGAGATATTCAGGTGCGAGGATGTCTATCATAGCTGCTGTGCAGCTTATCATAAGGAATCAAGTGCAAGCATGCTCATTGTTGCTATCATGCAGCTATTTGAGCGAAAAGCTTTGGATTTACCCTTTACTTCGGTCATAAAGGAATTACTGTAGCAATCTGAAGCTTTGCACCTCGAACCTATCCTTACATGAAATTTCTCCGTAAATCATGATCATCAGGTCCAGTAAACTATCGTTTATAATCAATAAAGCAGAAACTTCAAGAGAAATTAGCTCAAAAAAATCAAGAAGCATTAAATCCAAGAGTGGAACAAAAAATATGAATACGGGTTTTTTCGTTTTTTTCAATTAAATCCAGATAATTGTAAGAATACAAGGTTTCTCTGTACAAATAGAAAGCATACATGGATGATTCAAGCTAAAGTTGATGAGAAACCTTCTTTACAAATTCCAAGAATTGTCCATGGAAGCAACTCATGAAAAGACCTGTTTGGAGAGGATGGCAAAACTTAATCAGAGAGAATCAACAAGATATGGTCCTGGTCCTCCTGTTGGAAACATCATCATCAAAGTTGAGAGAATAGCTGTGGAAATCATAACTGAATTGCATACTGCTTCTTTGCCACCTTAAAGCTTGTCTGCACTGTGCCTTGACCTTCCAAACTAACTGCTTTAGGACATATCTTGTGCAGCAACTCAAAGGTGCTTTTCTTCGAGCACTGACTGCAGTTGGGCTGTGCACAACTTTCTTTCCCCCTTTCAAGAACTGTATTCTCTTCAAGGTTTGCTTACTCAGGATTTTCATGGCGCTCTCCTCTTCCTTCGCACTGCGCATCAACCAAAAGGCAGAAAGCTTGTATGCCTAGAAGAAATGGAGAACAATGAGATATATAGGTTCAAAAGAAGACATGAAGACCTATGCTTTCAACCATCACATTGCCACTTGCAACAGCTATCATTTTCAATGGTGTTAGTTGTCACGTTCCCATTTGTAGAAAATGAGAATCATTATCATCAACAGTTCATCCACTTTTCTTTTAAGTCATCTCCTGGTCATACCGGTCCCATCTTGGAAAAGGAAGTCACGATAAGAAGCTAGAAAATAGTGATATAATGTATGTAGCTAACATATAACTCTTTTTAGATTGTATGGACTTTACTAAAGTTTTTGGTGCTTATCATTTGTGATTTTCCTTCTGCCTTTGCTAGTCTAATGAGCTTGCTTTTGCCGCCTCTACGTGAGAGGAAAAAACAAAATGATAAGGTGTGCTGACTAAAAAGTTCACACCGCCCATCCCTAAATAAGTGCGATCTAATTCCAGTGCAAAAAAGGGGTGTGCCTAATTATTTTAAAAGATTTGATGACCTGCTATCTAGAGGAAAGGCAAAAAGATGAAGAAATATTTTCAAGGTTGAGATAATCAGATACCTGTAGAAAATATTGAAAGAAAACGAGTGAAATGGGCCACACAGTATGAAGAAATCTTTCATACGAGTAAAA